AAAGGGCTAAACAACCGACAGTCTCTCTACTGTGCGGCTGCTCACGTATAGACCAAGGAGCTATATTATACATATGTATAATATAGCTCCTTGGTATAGACCAGTTTCGATCCTATACGTGTACAGTTAATGTTTTTCTTTATATTATTTTTAGAATAATAGATAATTAGACTATTTAATATTAGGCCCCTATATATTTTATTATTTACTCGCTCCAACAACGACAGGACTATGCAGGTGCTTATACTCACCGAATGAAGCTCCGAAAAGTGGCTGTCACTCTCACCCACAGGTCACCTCAAACAAGGGCGTAGCCAGGAATTTGGATTGGGGGGGGGGTTCTCGAGCGAGTAACAAGGGGGTCTGGTAGTCTACAAAAAAAATTTGAGTTAGTGCTTTAAAATTAATTTAGACGCTGTTTTGTTGACAATACTATTTCTTCTGCAGCTTTTTTAAATATTTTTTTTGGATCAACATTTTTTGGGGGGGATTTTGATTTTGATTGGGGGGGTCCCAGGACCCCTCCCCCCACCTGGCTACGCGCTTGACCTCAAACTCTTGTGACGGCAGAGTACTAATACGCGTACGCTGTCACAATATTAATTAATCCAGTCTCTACGGACAATTCCGTAACGCAACCGTTCTACCAACACACCTCGATGAGTGACCCACGCTCGATCCCCTCTCTGAGTGTCAGCATAGACTAAGAATAAGTTATTAATTTTTTTAATTAGTTGATGCACAGGCACAGTATAAACAACAACAAGCATAAAGAGTCTAAAGCCCTGTCTACACTAGCAAAGTTTAGTTTGCAAACTCGAGCAAACTCCGAGTTTGGCAAGAAAAGTTTTCCAAAGTTTGCCAGTGTAGACCATTTGATAAACTTCGGCAAACTAGTTTGCAGAAGTTTGCAGAAGTTAGGCCGTGCACCTTCTTGACAAACTAGTTTGCTCGAGTTTGCTGAGGTTTGTAATAACTCAGCCAATCAAGTTTGGAGAAGTTTGTGGAGCCTGTCTACACTATGGTACTGACTACACTACACTACTGGTACTGACTGTGAATTCCAATGTTCAATGTCCAATGTTTGTCTATCTGAAGGATCACATAACTAAAAACTGTCATGTGA